TGAGAAATCTACCCATTTCGGGTTGCTTAGTACTGTGATGAGATCCGTGATCTGCTGGTCGATCCGAATATGGCGGTGTTCTTCGTCAAATCGCTCCGGGTCTTCGATCAGTGTACCGTATAGATAGCGATATAAGTCCTCAGGATCCTGCGAAACCAATAGTTAGGATCATTCGAACCAAAGCACCCCGAGCACGACTGGGGACTGACATCTTCATTGAGGCCGCTCTCTAGGGTCTGTAATCGGTCCAGAATCTGTAGGAGCCTGATTTTCCGTGGCTTGACCTCGCTCGCGAATTGTGTAGGAGGCTGACTGGTCCTCCACTTGCTGACCCAGTTGTTCAAAGTTGTGGTTCCTGCACTCTTGCCAAACGCGTACGCCATGCAAGGGTACTCGTGAGCCAACCACGGAAACTGGCTATCAGACGCACCCGTCATGTTGAGCGAAATGTCCCGGTATGCCTCCTGCTGGAAAGATGCGCGGTCCGTTCGACTCTGATGCTCAGCCTCCATGACCGCATAGAAGCGATCGTAGCCCGCTGGTGCGTTGGCTATCGCATCGCAATATCCCTTGAACGACGACGCACCGGCACATATGAGTTCCTCTGCCTGGTCAGGTTCCAGCGCATCCTCCGACGTGTATCCTTTCGGCGGCCATCGTCTTGACTTGCGGAAGTCCTCGAGCGGGGTGGGCTGGGAGTAGGACTCGGAGCGACGATGCGGAACGAGGGTCTGGTAAGGGACCATGTGGGCGTCTCCTCCGCTAGACAGCGGCCTTGTGGGGTTTGGCTCGGAGCCGTGTCTGGTTATGCGCGTGCGCGTGACTACGGGCGACGTTCGCGTTCTTGGGTGCTTTCCCACCTGCAGTTGCTGGAACCCATTTGTGAGTTGCGGGAAGGGCTCGGGGAACGCGTACGGGAGGGCAGACGGCGCTGGCGGTGCCTCGGGGCGAGGCGCGCTCCAAGGACTGTCGTACTGGTGTTTGATACCATCCCAGCGGGTGTATTCCGAGTTCATCTCTTACGCATAGCACTCTGTGTTGGAGAATTACCTGAACCTCTGGTGCCAGTTAGTGGGTTGTCAATTACAGAGTGATCAAGCAGCATGGCGGAACTATCGACGAGCAACTTGAGCACGTGCGAAGGTTTCAGACAAGCCAGGGAAGTAAAGCCAGAGCTGGCGAGGAACACAGAGCGCTCGATTGGGTCCGTGGGCTCTTGTGACATATACACACTCACCCTCATAGTACTATAGTCGCGCTACTGCCGCCGCCGGAGGAGTAAGACGCGTCTGCCGCGGGTCGGGGTGGAGATCACGTCTGGATCGCGAGGTGCTCGGGGTAGCGCCGGCACACGATTGCTCTAATGTGACCTCGTAAAGACAGACGCGTGGAGAGTGTAGTGGGGGTGGGGAATGAAGGACGGAGGGTTTCAAGTCAGGTCATGTTCAACTCTTGGGTCAGGGTCACCACTACCTAAGCCGATATCGTTGATCAAGGTCGCGTGTAGCATGCTTCGGCTCTCCCTGCGCCGTGGCATTTGCAGGAACCTCCGTCGTCGCAGCAAAGGAGCGCGATAGCACGAAGAGCTACGCCATAGGGGTGGAGTGTTCCAAGGTTAGCCTCACTCTGCGGCACCCGTGCGTCTTACGACTGGGGTATGCTAGCAGCCGATTCTACTCGTCCACGTTACTCACGATGCATGCTCTTAGCGGCTTGACCGTGGTGCGTCTGCCAGAACACCATTCACAAGATAGTGGCATGCATTTTGGAAGGGGTTGATGATTTAATTTTGCTGGTACTTTTCAAGTAATACTTGCTATTCAACTTTCTCACTCGCTTCGTGCATCCTGTGCTCGTCGTCTGCTAAACAAGCGTTCACACGAGGGCAATATTCTGCTTCATCCCTAGTTGTTCCGTTGCTCTGAAGCATGCCTTGGGCTTTTGATAGCTACGAGATGCGTCGCTGTGACGGACCGTGCTGGTGGCATCGAAAAGATGCCTATGAGCGTGCTCGCTGATGGCACGAGCCTGAGATGATGTAGTGATGTGCCTCCGGCAGCTCGATGAGATTCCCCGTTGGAGGAGAGGCTGTGGGTGATAACTCCTGCCGAGTCATGTTCGCCAGCTCATCAACATCCAACCAGCCGTGTTCCCAGCCTTCCATACAAGGGCGGCCACGGTTTGGCTTAACATTGGGAACAGATAAGATAACCCACAACGTCGTCTTCGCGAACTCATGATTGCGACCAAAGCCATCGAGGTAGAGACGCTAACGGTATTTGGGAGCGTTTCATGAGCTGGCTTGATATCGTGGCATGATGCTGCTCAGCGCTCAAGAGCTTCCGTTATTATGTGCCTGATTGATTGGTGTGTATCCCTGTCGCTGATCCCGTAGGCGTGGTTACGTGGTTCGAGTTGGCCGTCGGCCCTGAATCCGGTTCCTTCTCTATAACGTATCCTGCGCCACGATCGACCAGACCTTTGTAGTAATCTACGAGTACTTCCGGCTTTGGGACAATGCGCCATTCGAGCCTCCGCAGAAACTCCAGCTCGAGTAACGCCAATTCACGGACACTAACGCCGCCGACCCTTGCATATAGGCTGTTAGTCCAAAAGCTATCGCTAAGGCCCTTGGCCGCGACTGTCGCAGCAGTTATGAGGAATCGATGCACGGTAAGGCTGCTGATTGTAAAGGCGGGGTACATGGCGCACAGCTTGTCGACGTAGAAGACCATGGAGAGGAGAATAGGCGGGGACAGTGTAGCGTGCACTATGAGGCGGGAGAGATAGTCTCGTACTGAGATGCCCGGCGGGGCTCTGGGGATCAATGTCAGCGAACACTGCTTCGGTCAGTCTTGGACGGACGCACCTGGAGTGGAATCGTGTAAGTGTGCCGTCGCGCAGCGGATAGCCGTCGTTGAGCCGCACCAATTCCATAAGCATGTCGGAGATGAGCACACCGAGGTCTTTGACGTCGCACGTCTCATACTGAAGGGGCATGACCTTGACGCCTGGCTCCTCGGGCCTCGCTCGCTTGGCTGGCGAGGCAGGAACCTGCAAGACAGTGCTTTGCTCTTTCTGCACCCCGGCTGGCTCTACTTCTGCATGCGTGCTCTCGTGCGACATGCGGCGACCCTGAGGTTGCACATTGTTCGCGGGCGCGATGGGCTGCGGACTCACCCGCACTTGGGGCTCGGGGGGCTCCGTGACGACAGGCGCGGCGGAGGTATCCCCCCGCTGTGTAGGCACAGTGGCAGGAGCGCTGGAAGACGTCGGGTCGGCCGTTTTCTGGTCCTGGTCCTGGTCCTGGTCAAGGGTGGAGGAATCGAGAGCGATATCGGCACTGCTGCGGTTGCTGGGCTGCGGCCGATATGTCGGGGGAAACCCAGACGGGGAGTACTGGGTGCCGGAGTCGACGTATCCCCTCTTGCGACTCTGGGGCGAGGGCGCAGACGTCGGGACTGGCGAGGGCGCCGAGAAGGCGGGCTTTGGGGTGGGCGGCGCGTCGAATCGCCGTGAGGCTACCGTGGTCACGGCAAAGCGGGGCGAGTGGGCGCTGGAGGAAGCCGATGTGCGTCGCGAGGCATGGTACGGGCGGTGGGTGGGCGTGTGGAAGGTCGTGTTCGGCGAGGGCGGTTGCGAGATTGTGGGTGAGGAAGTGATCATGTCGTTGTGCCGGGCTGGGGGTCCTAGGGTGGAGGAAGATGGCAAGATCGGGCAACCGCGGTGCAAATCATAGTCAGGCCTGAGGACGGTCACGGAACTGTTGGCATGAACGTGGGGAAGGGAGGAACCATCGGCGAGGCTTCATCTGGCGTCGAGTGCGTAGGGCGGCCGCTCTTCCTTGAGCGAGTCTTGGCTGGCGTTCTGACGATAGCAGGCAGCGCCCACACCACGTGTGACGTCCGGGGATTTCTGTAGGCTGCCGGGCAAACCTTGCACCCTCTTGAGCATCGGCAAACCATCCCATGGCTGCTTCTTCCTGTCCTGCGCAGCCTTTAGTAATTCTCACCGCATTTCCTGGCTGGTTGCGTGTAGGCGCATCGGCCCTGCGTGCCAACATGCTCGTCATCGCTGCGGAGCGCCTGACCGCCAATGAATAGCCATTAAGCCCTAGACATGGAGGGAACATCCTCTAATCAAAATTTCCAGAAGACGACAACCGATCGCTAGCTTCCGCTCGCACTAGCTTAGATAGTGTGTAGATTTTTGCTCTTGCGAAACTGCGCCAGTCAGTCTTCAAATTACAGGTGTATACAAGCCTGAGTACACGATGAGTGTGATGTCACTTCGACAAAAAACATGCATGTTCCAGTCATCATCGCACAAAGCATTCAACGCCTGGCAGACTTCACCCACAAGACGATCGATCAACTGACAATTATCCCCGCTGCAGTACCCACTATGCGCGACGCGTCCAACTCCAACCTCAAAGTTACCTAACCCGCGGACCCTCTGCTATCTACCTGCGATAAACTCTGGTACCACAATGTCGCTAGCCGCTGGTTGCCGGCCCACGTTTTACAATGCCACAACATCACTCGACGAGACGAGGGCCGCTTGGCAGGGTTTTACACAGAAGGCCCGAAATGGTATCGTGTGGCAATTGCAGATGCAGTACATGATGGTTTCGTTGCTGTACGGTCTACCGTCAGCTAGACCGATCTTCTTGCTGCCGTGAGTTCCGAGAGCAGATCTAGTCTCGAGTCGGTTCGTGTATTACTTGTGTATTCTCCAGTGTCGTTGCGAGAGTCGGACGTACAACAAAGGTGTGACTACACTTCACGTTATCGATAAGCTTGCACCATATAGATCTCTTCTGTCTCTGTTCGAGGTAGCCTGCATCGTATGATCCAGCCTTTACAGCGGCGCTAAAGGTTTTCATGCTTTATCACGCTGTCTGCACGAGTCCCATTCGGGCATTGCACTACTCTATCCAAATGATTTCAAACAAACATTGCATACGAGCTAAAGATGATAATTCAAATACATATCGCTCATCATTTTGGCTTATTGCGTCCAGATGCGTCCAACTCTGCCGAGAAAGACTGTTGCTCCAGCGGTGGACTGTGCAACTCTGCTACGGCAGGTTGCCCGTTCATCTGTGCATGCTTTAGTTGGTCGATCCTATAAACATAGTTAGCGTGCATGTCTAGGCCAGGTATCTTTCAGATGAGTGGTACTTACTGTTGCTGCGACAACCCACTGACATTGCTCATCATACTCATATGGCCGTGTTGGGGCCCAGGGCTGGTCCAACCCGACGGGTACTGCTCTCCTACATTGTGCTGACCGTATCCTGGGGGCGAGTTGAAGCCATAGTCTGGGTAGTGTCCTGGCGGTGGAGTAGCATAGCCAGGAGCTGGCGATTGAAACCCTGGCGATGAGAGTCCTCCATGACCGTAGTCCGAGCGACCGTACTGTTGGCTCATGTTTGGATCGTGGGTATTCGTACCATCTCGCTGTTTGATAACCTCCTTCAACGACTTGGATCGGCCTACAAAGAAGAAGAGAGCGGCACAGATTGCCAGGAAAGCCACGCCACCAAGTACTATGCCAACGATGGCACCAGTGGACAGGCTATGACCGCCGCCATGACCTCCCCCGTTAGATGGTGGCGGTGCCCCCGTTGACGTAGGAGCATTAGACAGCGTCGATGTTGCCTCACCAGGAACTGGTTCGCCAGGCGCTAGTTGAAAGTCTGCTGCGGCAGCCGCTTGGACTTGCGATGCCAGTGTTTGCGTAGAGTTCGGGTTGATGACTCCAACCATGTGTTCGCCCAGACACGAGTTCGGTGCTGCACAATAGAAGAAGATGGGTTCTGTCGAGTTGATCGTAACATTGAAGTATGTGAGCTGGGAGAGTGTTAGCGTAACTTGGCCGGCTGTTCATTGAAGGACCAACCTCATTCGTATTGTTCACCCATTGGGTCTCAGACCAGAACCCTACTTTGTCTTTTCCCGTATACTCATACGGTACGCAGGCTGATCCAAACTCAGCTCTCGCAACTGAATGATCCGGTGGATAAAACTCCCATTGAATGATGTCGCCCACGGAGACATTGTGAAGTTCTTGCGGTGTAAATTTGAAGCCTCCGGCGCCAGCTTTGATTGAGTGGATTGTTGGTTCACCCGACGATGTTGGTGTTGCAGTCGACGATGCTACTGCTTCCGAGGTCGTAGGTGTCGCCGATGAAGATTGTATATTGTTGGATGCTGTCTGTGAGACATCTTGCGCCATGGTAGACGAAAAGTAAAGTTGGCTGGTCGCGATGGCCACTGCTAGCCTTGCGGTCCACGAGCGTCTCATTGCGATGGTGTTGTGGCGGGTAGATAAGCACAATAGTAAGACCAGCCTCCTGCACAAAGCCCGTGATCTCTTAGTCCACTCAGTTTTCTGATTGTCGGGAAAATATGAATGCAGTGCTAGCAGTGTAGCAGGCAGCATAAAGGCTCAAAGAAGGAAACAGAGCAGAGGTGACCCAGCAGGCTGACCCCCAACCCTTAAGTCACTCTTCCGCCCATCTTGCTCGATACCGCTGTTTCCAGCCCCCACAGCCGCACTGCGGATAGTGGACCAAGCGACAGGCCACCTTCCTGTATCTGCCATCATACATAGCCTTTGTTCGTCTTATGCAACCAATCAGTACATTCAATGTTGCCGATCTGGCAGGCGCGCCCTTGTGCGGGCGCATCTGAGGCGTACAGCCATTGCAGCAACATGCCTGTAAATTCGCCAGCGGGGCGTGCCATCAGCATGTCAGCAGGGAATAAGAAGCACAGTCGATAGAAGGTTGGATATGTGTAACGGCAGCTAGTGCTGATGCTGGTCCATCACTACTTGGCCTATTTCCGTGCCACCATCCCTTCGACTGCGCCGCCGAGTGCATCAGTATTGACAATCTCGTTCCAACCTCGTTCTGAGGAATCTGGAGATGCTGGCCAAGGGCGCGTAGCAACTCTTTCCGCGTATCTAGTCATCGATTTGCGCTGTTCGCAGCTGCCATGCCGTCTAGATCCTTCTTGTACGCGAGCTGGCATGTGGTGGAGCACAGCTGAGTTGTCGTCAAGGAATGAGCATCGAGCGTTTGAGCCGCCAGCCTCGAGTGAGCTTAGCGTTGGTCAGCGAACCGGCCATGAAAGCGGGCCCGTCTGCTTGGCGCATGCATGGCTTGGGCGCAGTATGCTGATTGCGATGCGTGTGCGGAGTAATTGCTGTGGTGGGTGGAGGATCATGCGAGCGCGGAGCGGCTGTCGTGAGGCGTAGGGCTCGGCCGGTTCGATGGATAACGGCTGGCGTCATGATTAGCCATCTCCAGGGCTCGTACCTAAGCGAGGCGCAAGCCGACCATCTTGAAGCGGCTCAAAGTACCGAGGTTTTGCATTGCATCGCATCAGCAAAGCTATCAATAAGACTTTCGTTCAACATCACTGTCATCATCGGGGTACTCATATTATCGAGGCGCAGCTGTCCTCTAGGAGATGTTGATTGTTTGCGATTGAAGAAATGCAGCGCGCGTACTCAACACATAAAACATCAGACATCGCTTCATCGTATAGCGAAAAAGGTATGCCAGATACGCCAGGCCATGCAACGAATATGATGGATGACGCATATGGCGCCATCTCTTGACGAGCTTCAAGTAGCTCAAAAGGGTGGCCTTTTGACGGGACTCCGTGGACTGCTCGCACTGAACAAGCCCATTTGAGGCATCTTAGGGCTCTTTAACAGATTCGAGGCGGCTTCTTGCTCAAACCGCCTAGATGTGTGTGACGCGCTCGCTACGGGCGGGCTTCGCAGCCCTGCGACCGTGTTCTGCGGCCCCTCGTCAGTACGACTGGAAATGTCATTCATCTCTTCAAACTCGCTCTTCTTTTCCAAAAGTAGGCTTTGCACTTCATCCAAATGCTGCTCGAGCATATCGTCTAAACTGTCCTTGGGCGATTGGATAAGGTTGCCAAGCTTCTTGCGCATCTTGCGTTGACGGCTTGGATTCCAGACGAAGTGGCTGTTCTTCACGAAGATCATAGAGTGCTGCGAATCTTAGCTGGTATCATGTTGTAGTCTTCAAGCGTACTTACGGAGTAGTACCAGCTGGAAATGGTGTCGTCCGTTGCTCGTTTGATGGACTGAATAGTTGTTTCTCCCACAAATCCGATTAAGCACTCGACTGGGCTATCCGGATCGGTGCAGTTTTCTGTAAAGTCAGTCGCTGCTCTGGGAAGGCAAGCTGCAAGAGGACTTGGGATGCTTACCGTTGTGGCTCAGTAGATCAACAAGTCCAAGATACGCATCGCCGATACCCATGAAGAACACTTGCGTCGCCTCGTTTGGTCTATTTACACGTTAACAATTGATCAAAAGCGCGTTCTGAGAGACTTACTCAATATAGTTCTCCCACAGATACGCTGCAAGCTCGCGGGTTTGCTGCGCTCGGACTGCGGAATCATCGGATCTTGTGTAGCCGATGATCGACTGACTGTGATTAGCAAGCTATCTCGGGAAAAGCATCGCGAAAGCTCACGTCTTCCACTGCAACGACTCTCGGAATATTGACATCAATGACTTGAAAGTCATTGTTGATGGCCCAGTCAATATACCTCTTCGTAACATCAGTCTTCATCCAAAGTCAGCGATTACACAGTGCGAGACTGCAGCCGTACTCACAAGCCATGTGTTGTGCAGTTCTCTCTTACCAGTCACCGGATCGGTGTGGTCTTGGAAGCTCGGCGGGTCGTGAAAAATCACGAGGAGAGGATACCGGTCCATGAACTTTGGTCTGTACTAAGTCAGGATCTGCGCGGATTATGAGGAGAATGAACTTACGTTGCAATAATATTATGTTCAAACGTCTGGGATAAGCCAGCCTTGTTGATTTGGAGTGGAGGAAGAGGAACCATGGAGTGTTCTGATGACAGCCGCTGACTCTGCCATTCGCGGATGATTTCGTGCAATCGATATGTATCTTTGTAGCCAGGGTCGGTTTTGTCCAGGTGTTTAGGGTAGAGGGACTTCCAGTACTTGGAGTGCTGGCGTTTCACGTTCTCTATGACGTAAACCGCACTATCCTTTGGGGCTGGAAGATCCTCGTTCAGGCGATCCGGCGGCTCCAACATGAGTACCCTCGTCACGGCTAGCGCCGAGCGCGCTATTGATCTGAGATTGTAACCGCCTTCGAGGCACACCACGATTTTCCCCTTTGCTAGTCGCATAAGCATATGTGTCATGTGACCGTAACACGCTGGTGTTACGAAACAACCGCCCAGCAGGTCTCCTTCGGCTGCGTCGAAACCGGCCGAAACTATGACAAGATCCGGATCAAACTCAGTAGCAATGGGCATGACAATTTCCTGGAAAGCGTAGAGATATTCTGAGTCGCCCATGCCGTGTTCCGCCCAAGGGATATTCACATTCTTCCCCTCACCAGGACCTTTGCCGCAATAGTCAAGATTACCGTCCTTCAAGTTGGGGTAGAAGTTTCCGTCTTTGTAGACATGTAGCGATATGTAGAGTACGTTTGGATCCTCGTAAAAGGCATGCTGGACGCCATTACCGTGGTGAACATCCCAGTCCAAGATCAAGACCTTGCGGCAAGTTTCCGGATATGCATTCTGACAGACCCGGGTAGCTATCGGAACGTTGTTGAAGATGCAGAATCCCGAAGCCTGATCTGTTTCGGCATGATGCCCGGGAGGACGAATGATGGCGATTGCGTTGCGCACGATTCCTTGTACTACCGCTTTACAGGCCTCGATGGCTCCTCCAGCTGCGAGCTTGGCGCATTCATAGGTCGCATGGTTGAAGTAAATTGAGTCGCGATTGGAGGCCTCCATTTTAAGATCTTCCACAGTCATGTCTAATAGCAAAGTTAGTCGAGTTCTCTTAATGTTATCATAAACCTACCCTGCAATGACTCTACGAATGCGTAATGCTCTTCCGTGTGTATCAGAAGGATTTCTGGTCTCGTAGCGAAGCGCGTCATAATCCTCCAGCACTTGTCTTCTTGGTCTTCGTCTAAATCACTAGTCGCCAGTAGACCAGCTTGCCTAATCTCTTCATAGATGGAGTGAATACGACGCGGATCTTCGGGATGGATATCATCAATGAGATCCATGTCAGGCAGCTCGGCGTGAAAGCGCATACGAGAGTCGTAGACGAGGCCTGTTTTGTTCGTCGCATATGGAAGAATCGATGATCTCGGTTTTGGGGGTATGCGAACTTGCGGACTTGATCGCCTAACAGGAGTAGGGCGCGACATGCTCATCTTATCCGACCAGCCACTCGGCGACTTTGTCGTTCGATGTGATCCAGCCTGGCTCTGCGTGGTACTAGGTTGCAGAAATGAGGGGTTCTTCGATGGGCTGTGAAAGGGGAGTTGCTCTCTTTTAGATAATGGTGGCCCTTTGATGTTCGCAAAAACTTCAGACGGGTTCACGGTGTCCAGTACATGGTCCCCATTTGGCTCCGTCGAATTGATGATGGAGTCATCTCCCATGGCATAGTCTTCTTCTGCCATGACTATTTCGTAGGGTAAAGCGGGCATGGTACGCCTCGCTTTGCGGTCGCGGGCTTGCAGCTATAAATCCATTAGCGACAACACTATCAGACGCGCTGGTCGTATGACTTTGAACACCCGACCTCATGACTTCAGCATGGTGTGCTGAGTGAATGAAGAAAACCATGCTTCTAATCTGAAGCCGATTTGGGTAGATGGAAATGTGATCCCAAGCATGCTAAGAAACAAAGATGTTGAAGAGAAAGCGCTTTGAGGGTCGACCTCTGGTATGAGAACATGTTGTTGATGCGGAGCTAACTGTAAGAGCTGCTTTGGGATGAATTTCGGAAGTGGTGAATAGAAAGGTACTTACTGGCGATATCGCTACCGCATTGAGCTAGCTGTACTGGAGCTAAACGTATTGGTGGAGGATTGGTTCCAGAAGATGAGAGTAGAACACGCTCTAGTGGATGCTGCAGGGTGAGAGCGCCAAGTGTTGTTTCTTTGCGATACGTTTTTCACGGAGTTGTGCTGATCTGTAGTTGGGTAAGTAAAGGTCGTTATGCACTGACTATATGTTGTTCGTCGCGTTATGTGGAAGGCAGATCGTAAATCGCGACAGAGGTCACCTACATCAGCTGCTGAACAACGTGAGACTGGAGCTCCAGCAATTTTATATAACGTAAAAGCAGTCTATAGCTTTCTGAATCTCGTGATAGCTGATGCTGGGCTTCAAAGTAGGGGA